ATTTCTGATATTTCAGCCATATTCTTTATTTTTCAGTTTGGATCGAGATGCATCAAGAGAGTCTCCTGTGTCCCCGGGCATCTTCGACGCGCACTCTCCCTGTGCTTTTGATGCAGAGCAGCCAGGCCCAAGCACTTCGTGTGAGGCAATAGGCATCCATCAAGTGGTGGGTGAAAATAAAAAATCAACTTAAATTTTTTGCATCTTGAGTATGCTGTCTCACTAGCTTTTGTTTTCCAGGCCGGGGTGAGTGATTGCGGCCCAGCAGAGGACCCAGATAATCTGCAGGCACTGTGGAGACAAAAAATTAAACTGCAAATTAAAGTGTTGCGGCTCCAAGAGGAGTACTACAGCTTGGCTTTTAAAAAAAAAAGAAAAGATACTGAGTGATAAAAAAGTAATAAAACGAATTAATAAAAAAGCACTGTGTGTATCGGTGATTTCTTGTTATTCTTACCCAAAGTGGAAGCTGCCCCATCACATGGATGAATGTTGCTAGGGACGCTCACATCTCCATCTCCTCCCTCATCGTCATCATCATCATGGGGGTGGGAGGGGCGGGTTTTCAATATTTGTAGTATTTTTTTTTTTTGTTGTTGTTGTATGGTTTTAGTTTGTAAAGCGCTTTGGGGTTGCATTTTTGATGTATGAAAGGCGCTATATAAATAAAGTTTGATTTATTGATTGATTGATCATCGTCTGCTGGTGGGAGTGGGACATTGCGCGCCTTACAAATGTTGTGCAGTATTGCACATGCCATAATGATGCGGCACACTCTGTCTGGAGTGTGCTGTATTTCTGAATGCAGAACGTGGAATCTGCGCTTTCACTGGCCAATTCCTCTCTCCACCACACTTCTTGTGCTTTTGTGTGCCCTGTGACGAAAATAAACCCTCCTATTAAACAATATTCTATAAACTTAATTAAACATTTTAAATTTAAAACAATTAGGCATTTCGTTGGGCTAACCTGTTATAGTTCATTTGGCCTTATGTCTGTGGCATCTGAAAAAGGGTAAGAAGCCAGCGGCGTAAGGGATATCCCTTATCCCCAATTAGTTGACACCCAGGTGGCACAATGTGCCTCTCAAACAGCTGCTTCAGGCCACTTTCATTTAGGATCCTTGCATCATGGGTGGACCCAGGCCACTTGGGTACCACATCCAAGATGTTGTAGTCTGCATCAAACACTACTTGCGTGTTGATACTGTGGTACCTCATCCTGTTTACATAAATGCTCTCGTCCACGCTTGGAGCGATGATCCTAATATGTGTGCCATAGATTGCACCGACCACTCCAGGGAAGCCAGCTATTTGCATGAATGCAGTTTGCTTCTGTTGAATTGCCCGGGGTGTAGTTGGGAAGGTCATGAAATGCATGATGAGGTGAGGAGCATTAAGGGCCATTATTGTTTCCATAACAATTCTGCTAATTGATGGTTGTGATGGAATCATCAGCATTACACTGTTGCATTTTTCCAGTGGCGAGATATCAAAGCATTGTGATGACCTTTAATACTGCCATGAAAGCTCTGCTGCGTGATGTTACTGATGAGCCTGCTTTGTCCAAACGATACCGTTTGATCAGCTGCTCGTCATCAAACAAAGCCAGGACATCCTTCCACGCCCGGAACGTTTGCGCACGTCTCTCTCGCCTCAGTGCCATCCTCTACTGGCAACTTCTAACCACTTAGGACACCTCTGGAGGTCTCTTAAATATCTGGGGGAGTAGGAGTGATTCTTAGACTTGAGAAGGCTGATAAATAGCTTTTATTCTTAAGTTTGAGAGTAGGACTAAATTTCAGAAATTCTCATCACTTAAGACTAAAATGGCGCTCTAAGACGCTTGACAAATATGGCCCCTGAGCTTGAATCTGTGTAAAAGACATTAATGAGTTCTCTGAGTATAGGTCACCAATAACTCTAATGCCCTTACTGTGCCAAAGAGAAAAAATCTTGCTATTAATGCCTGGGGGAAAAGCTTTATTCCCAATTAAAGGAGTTAAGGAAGATGAAAACC